GCGACTGACGCTAGTGGCTGCAGTCTTTAGCCTCCTTGTTAGTGCGTCCGCCGCCCATGCCGGAGACCCAGGTTCGAGACCCACTCAGAGCGAGAACGAGCTGTCTGACCCGGGAGAGAGGGGTTACACCTAAATGCATCTCTGTCAGTCATGACAGGTCTTGATCCACCCAAAACTCACAGAATTCAATTTGGTGAATATGGCACCCATCCCACAGACATGTGTGGGTGAGTGTAACGGAGGCCAGCAGTAGGTGCTGTGCAGGTAAACCTCACTCCCCTGATTTCAAGAGACGCACTAGCGACTGACGCTACTGGCTGCAGTCTTTAGCCTCCTTTTTAGTGCGTCCGCCTCCCATGCCGGAGACCCAGGTTCGAGACCCACTCGGAGCGAGAACGAGCTGTCTGACCCGGGAGAGAGAGGTTACACCTAAATGCATCTCTGTCAGTCATGACAGGTCTTGATCCACCCAAAACTCACAGAATTCAATTTGGTGAATATGGCACCCATCCCACAGACATGTGCGTGTGTCTATACAGAGGTTTTAGATGGACATACAAAAGTTTGGAGTCTGTAAGATTTTTAAATGTTTTTGCAAGAAGTCCCTAATGCTCACCAAGGCTGTATTTATTTAATTAAAAATACAGTAAAAACAGTAATACTGTGAACAATTATTACCATTTAAAATAACAGTTTTCTATTTTAATATACTTTAGAATATAATTTGAATATATTTTAAAATGTAATTTATTGCTGTGATGCAAAGCTGAATTTTCTGCATCATTACTCCAGTCTTCAGTGTCACATGATCCTTCAGAAATCACTCTAATATGCTGATTTGCTGCTCAAGAAATGTTTTATTATCAGCATTGAAAACTGCTTAATATTTTTGCCTAAACGGTGATGCATTTTTCATCAGCATTCTTTTATGAACAGAAAAGTTCAAAAGGACAGCATTTATTTGAAATCTTCTGTAACATTTTAAATGTATTCATGTCAACTATAATTTCTTAAAAAAAAACATCTTACTGACTGCAAACTTTTGAATGGTAAAATTAGTCTGAATAAATTTTGATGGCGTATTTTAGTTCAGTAGTTGCTGCATGACTCATGGATTGTTACTAAAATATCACTGGATGACTCTAATGGTGCTCAGAACAGCAGAGCAGTCATTTAGTCCTAAATTTCCCTAGTGAGTAACTACACAAATTAAAGATGCACATCAGCCATGTTTACATGCACATTATTTTCCAATGTACATGCAAATTCTGGTTAAAGGGATAGTTCACCTAAAAAAATGAAAATTCAGTCATTAATTACTCACCCTCATGTCGTTCCAAACCCATGAGACCTTCGTTCATCTTCAGAACAAAACTGAAGATATTTTTGATGAAATCCGAGAGCTTTTTGACCCTGCATTGACAGCAAGGGAACTGAAGCGTTCAAGGCCCAAAAAAGTAGTAAGGACATCATTAAAATAGTCCATGTAACATCAGTGGGTCAACCGTAATTTTATGATGCTATGAGAATACGTTTTGTGTGCAAAGAAAACAAAAAAACGATTTTTATTATTCAACAATTCTTCTCTTCCCTGTCACCGCCATTCACGAGAGTACCACGACTCATGAGTGTGGTGCTGCTGACATAGAACTGTAATCACTTTTGCTGTAGATTATTCCTGACAGCTGCAATAAGGCTCCTATTCCTGTGTGTAGCCCAAGGAGGGCTCCTGTTCCTGAGTTTAGCCCAGAGTGGGCTCCTGTCTCCACGTCAAGCCCAGGGAGGGCTGCTGTTCCCCCGTTAAGCCCAGAGAGGGCTCCAGTTCCTAAGTTTAGCTCAGAGAGGGCTCCAGTTCCTAAGTTTAGTCCAGAGAGGGCTCCAGTCACCGAATATGGCCCAAAAAGGGCTCCAGTCCCCAGATCCAGCCCAGAGAGAGCTGTTGTTCCCTTGTCCCTTTTTTTGGGGGGGGGGGACTATATGGCTCTGGCCGGAGGGGCCGGGCCATTAGCCAAGGCCACGCAGGCCGATCCGCCATGGCGCCCTGAGCTCCCTGCTCTGCCATGGCTCCCTGAGCTCCTTGCTCCGTCAGGGCTCCCCGGACTGTCTGCCCACCATGGCCTCCTGAGCTCCCTGCTCCGCCATGGCGCCCTGAACTGCCCTATGCGCCATGGCACCTTGAACTGTCTGATAGGCCCTGGAGGCCTTCAGTCTTGTAAGCCCGTCTCTAGAGGCCACCAGAGCGCCCACCCCCCCTCCCCGGTAGATGTTATGTGGCACTTGGACGTGCCTTCCGGGAGGGGGAGGTAATGTCAGACCTGTGTCCTGTCTTGTGTTGTTGTTTTCTGTCTATGTGCTGCCCATGTCTTAGTTTTCCCTCATGTATGCCCATTTTTGGTTATGTTCATGTTCCATGTCCTCATTGTTTCATTATTAGTTCATTAGTATCCACCTGTGTTTGTTAATTATCTCGTTTAGTTTGAGTATTTAAGCCCTGTGTTTTCCTGTATCTAGCGTCTGGTATTAATGTCGATGTTGTGTTTCTTGTGTGTCTCTGCCTGCCTTGTGTTACCCTTTTTGGATTGTGGATTAAAGATTGTGGTTTATCCTCGTCTCCGTGTTCTTCGTTTTGCCACAGAAGGCAACTGTGACAACACACATATATTATATAAACAAAACGTTTATTTTGGATGCGATTAATCGCGATTAATAATTTGACAGCACTAGATTGCCCCCAACCACTGTTATTAATATTTTGATCTAGTCTTTGTCATTATAATTTGACACTTATATTTTTCTCATACCAAAAGCATCTCACAGTTTCCCCCGGTTTCTAACTTCAACACTGAATACATCATACACAGCAACTTTAAGAGCCTCCAACTCCATATCAGTATAGAAGAGAAATGAATGATGGGTGTGATGCAGAAGAGGGGATGTTTATTGTGAGTAACGTGTACAGATCAGAAATACAGTCCAGCAGTCATTGTTGTATGTTTATGGGATTGTCTCGTGATGGACTGCACATTATTAGAATGAACATTAATGTGCTGCTCACAGAGAGCTTGTTTACGAGGAAGTGTTTTGTTTCCTAGTAACAATTCTTGTACGCTGACATGTTTTAAACAGCAGAGTGACGTGAAATTCAAAGTATCTGGTCTGTGTACAAAGATGTGTCTGGTTGATTGAGAGAGCGTTTGTGGGTTTGTTGTGTTTGTAAAGGACAGTTTCGCCCCTGTGATCATTAAAACATGTATGCCTGGATTGTTGGTGCTTTTCTGTTTGCAGCGTATGTGGTTTTGGGGTGTGTGTGTAAGCTGAGTGTGAGTTTTAACTCATCACTTAGCACCAAAATGATAGGAAAACTTTTAGTCATGCCTGACAACAGAATGTGAATTGAAATTTTCTGATCATCATTTTTTTTTTTTGCCTGTTTGAATTTGTATTTTGCCTTATGCATTATGCAATTCTGGTAAGACTTTAATTTAGGGACCAATTCTCCCTATTAACTAGTTGCTTATTAGCATGCATATCACTATATTTATTAGTACTTATAAAGCACATATTAATGCCTTATTCTGCATGACCATATTTTAGATCCCTTAATCCTACCCCATACCTAAACTTAACAACTACCTTACTAACTAATATGCAGCAAATTAGGAGTTTATTGAGGCAAAAATTATAGTTAATATTTAGTTAATAGTGAGAAATGGTTCCCAAAAGTGTGACTGCAAGTCTGTTATATGCAACAATATATTTTGAATGTATGTATAAATATTCTAGCCATTTGGTAAAATATTATCTATCATAAAAACACTGAGACCTACAATTATTTTGGTCTTCAGAGTTTCGTTTTAATGGCGTGACTCCAGGAATGTGTCGTGCCATGAGGTTCATGCATTATTGAAATTATGACAGCAGAAGAAAACTGTTTTTTTTTTTGTCAGCTGAATCCCTTTGATCTAAAATATTTACCTGAGGATTTTGAGGTAATATTTCACATGGCATGAAAGTGAACAAATAAAATATTTCATATTTTATTAAGTGTTATATTTTCATATTTTATTTTGGTCATTGATATTCTTCTTCTTCTTCAATAAGTCAAGTCATAGGACGTTAACTTCTCTTTGGAATTTCTCGTTTGACTATAGTTGTGTGATTTAAATTATGTATTATGTTTCAATTTCAGATCACCATTTACTCATTTGGTGGTGCTCGTTTGTTCATTTTCTGCCAGCTAAACGTAAAAAAACATAAAACCTGCAACTTCAAGAAGTCTGTCCTCACAGTCCAAGATCTTTACATACTCCTTTGTGTAAATTAGTACTTTTTTGAGATTATTAGAAAGAGTTATTATCATTAACTAAAAACTAAGACTAAAAAGAAAACATTTTGGTTAATTGCAATAAAGCTTGAATGTAAATATTAGATGAAAGCAAACTCAAAAAAATGTATAAACTGAAATGTGCATGTTTAAGTTGCAAGTTTAAGTACGATATAAACTGAAAATAAATAACAATGTAATTTATCTGAACAATGTTATTTTAGTAGAATTGAGATACGATTGTAGATTTTATTAATATTTAGATTCTAAATATTTTAATATTTTGATTATATAATATATATATAAGATTATATATTTTATTTATTTATAGTACATCATTATACTAAATCAAAATGAGAAATCTCTAATTCAGAATATTAATTAAAGCTATAATCGTAGATAAGTAATAACACTGCTTTGAGGTGAGTCTAGAGTCTTTCTATACTGGTCTGAGCTGGTTTGGTGGTAGTCTTGGCAATCTGTTTATAAAACCCTTATGATCAACCAGCATGGTTTTCCTAGTGGAGCTGGTTTAGCTGGTTAAGAAGCCTGTTGGCTACACCAGCATCCACAGCCCAACATACAATGTGGCAACACGCTGGTGTTTTCAGCAGGACTTTACTGTAATCTGAGTATTGAAGTATGTGTATTTGTTTGCTCTCATTAAACCCTGCAGGGTCAGTTGAAGGACGGTGAGCCCGAGGAGGATGCATTTGCAGAACAGGACACAGAGAATCTAATCGGGGAAACCGACGAACAAAATGAAAACAACGACACTGTTGATGAGTAAGAAATATCTATAACATGATACATCATAATTTTCATTGCCACAATAAACATTTCTGTCAGGACCACTATCGTCAAAGATGATTGACAATTAGCATACAGTTTGGATTGGCGGTATGGTTCTGTTCTGGGCAAGAACTCCCTGCGCATCCATGCAGCCTAGCATGGATGAGAGCAGGGAGAGCAGCGGTAACCCCCCCAGGGTAAACAGAACAGAACCAACATACATGTATTGCAGATATCGTTAAAGTTCAATAATTTCATGTACACATTTTAGAATTAGTCTGATTCAAAGGAGAATCAGAAGGCTGAATCCCGACTGACAGAGGAGGAGCTGGGGATGGAGGAGGGTAATTAGCTATTGAGCAATGCGAAAACTGCTGATAATACTGAGGGACCTTATATATGAATGCTTAGATTGTCTCGTCGTATTCCTATAGGTAGCTGGGGATCAGCTGAGAGTCAGCTGATGTGAGCTTGACTAACGTGACCTGCCAGAACTAACGCTACACTTGATTTAGTTGTCTTTTGAACATCTGAGAATAGCATTAGATCAGTGTTGTGGAGCTACTAACTAAAACTAGCAAAGCTACTGACTTTTTTAGTCTCAAAACAATATAGTTTTTCCAGTAACACATTTTTATTTCCCCCGGTGTCAGGTGACTATATTGCTGTGTTTTTTATGTTCTGTGTACATAGGCTTGCAGCCGAATGAGTTTGAGGGAATAAAACTCTCAAGTCTCCTGAAATGCCCTTAACTAAAATTTTAGCAAATTTTGTTTAGATGATTCATTACACTGAACTGTTTAAAAAAAATGGAGTGATTAATCACTCATTATTTATTCATATCTTCTTAGTAGCAAAATTATTATTTTGTTAAATGCTGCTTTTTATGTACATGCTTATATTTAAATTATATAAATTAGGGTTTTATAGTTATATTAGTGTAAATTTATGTGTTCAACTTTGGCATCATCCTACATGAGTCACAGAGTCTAAATGTGGTGTAGGCAGACGACAGGATGAAGATTAAGAATGCACAGTAAACTTTATTGCATGACGAACTAAACCCTTAACCAAACTTAGCATAGCATTAACAAACTGAAAACACAGGCAGATAAATACAGAGGCAAGCTAGGAAAATGAACGACACACAGCTGGACAGAATGAACAAAATCATATCAATTACCATGACAACTAAGGACAGGCGGGGACTAGAACAAAGGAGACTGAACAGAAACAAACTAAAAGTCCACGAAAGTTAAATTAAGACAGAATTAACTGATAAAGTGTTACAACATGAGATACACATTGTTTTTGTGTCAGATAAATAATGTTTGTATTTATCAAAGAAATTACATAACTGGCTATGTTTCACTGATAGATCCAATAGCGCTTGTGAGTTCAAGCAGTGTTTTGTTATTATTTATATACTATTATAATTTATTTTCAATATTTTGAATTTGTTTTTAATTTTTGCATTTTGTGTTAAATTTTAGTTAGGTTTAGTTTATTTCTGCATTTTTTGTAGTTTTTTATGTCTATATCGTTTTTATTAAATTGAGTATATCAATTTAAGCTAAATGAAAATTATAAATGTTGCTTTGGCAAGAAGTCAGAATTCAGAACGAGCTTTATTATGTTTTATTATTATATTATTATGTTTACACACAAAGGAATTTGACTTGGTGACAGGAGCTTCCAGTGCAGAAGAAAGTACGGACATAGTGCAGACATGCATAGGAATTACACAGTAGATGTGGAATATAACACTAATATAAGAAAAAAATGAAAATTAAATAAATAAATATACTGAAGTAGAAATACAGAGGGGGGGAAAAACCTGAAATAAAATACTTTTTTATATGTTAACATTTATTTTTATTTTTATTGAGATAAATGTTTTTTATAGGTTTAGTTAACTATAAGTAACTATAACCCTGGTTTAAAGTATCTTTCCCAACACCGCATTATATGTACATTTAGACCAGGGGTCTGTACCATGATGGTGGCTGAACAAACTCAGGGTTACAGGATTAGTTTTGAGTTGACAAAACCAAACCACTCCAATCCGGCTTTGTTGGTACCATGAAGCTGATCATCAACTTTCTCTGTCAACTCAAGCTTGATCCTGAGTTAATGGAGCACGTTCACTTGAAAGTGTGACATCAGTAATGAACAGCCAATCACATGCCTTGAAACTGTGATTCAATTCTTGCGAGAGAGTCAGTGTGATTCACTACCAAAGATTAAAAGATTGAACAATATGAAGAATTTAAACACATTTACATGAGATGACACGATCGTTCCAGGAAAGAGGAAAACTTAAAGAAAACATCTTGCCATATAAGTGCAAGTAAAAGTAGTAAAGTTCGTTTATAGAGTTGATAATATTTATAGGTATAAAAACACTTTAAAATCTAAGCTCATATGTAGTCATGTTTAAAGCTATTGATTCTAAAACTTATTTATTTTTGCATATTATCTATAGGTTTATATTTATTTAAAGGGGTCATATGATGCTGCTAAAAAGAACATTATTTTGTGTATTTGGTGTAATGAAATATTGTACAATACTGTGATACCCTCTCCCGGCCGGAGCGACGAGACAAAAACATTCAAACCCATTACAAACGAGGCATTTGTTGCATCCAGTGGGGACATAATTACTGATTATAATGACTTATACTGTCTTTTTAGACTTTGCGTTGCATTGCATCGCGCCGCGTAAACATAAAACCCTGTCTGCATTTATGATCGGAGAAATGACAAACAACAAGTGCTACTCTACACTGTCCAAAACTCGCGTTTGAATCATCAGTGGCAAATCCTTTAAATGAAAACGTACTTACGTGAGTCAGAACTGCCGGCATTTTAGTCTAACGCTAATCTCCCAGGATCAGTAAACAGCCCTCCATAAAATGCGCTGGACACATCTGGATATTTGGGTTAAACTGTTCTGGAACAGTGTCGTAAATACAACAAACTAGGCATTTGTTGCATCCAGTGGGGACATAATTACTGATTATAATGACTTATACTGTCTTTTTAGACTTTGCGTTGCATTGCATCGCGCCGCGTAAACATAAAACCCTGTCTGCATTTATGATCGGAGAAATGACAAACAACAAGTGCTACTCTACACTGTCCAAAACTCGCGTTTGAATCATCAGTGGCAAATCCTTTAAATGAAAACGTACTTACGTGAGTCAGAACTGCCGGCATTTTAGTCTAACGCTAATCTCCCAGGATCAGTAAACAGCCCTCCATAAAATGCGCTGGACACATCTGGATATTTGGGTTAAACTGTTCTGGAACAGTGTCGTAAATACAACTTAACCACTGATTTGTAGTCGTGTCCTCTTTTGGAAGACCAAACTAAGTAGTTTCGCTTTCACAACGAAAAACACAGCGGCCTAGCGTGAGGGAAAGCCCCGGCTTAGCGTGTGCTGAGGCCGGGATAGAGTGAGCTGAGGCCGGGCTAGCGTGAGCAGAAGCCCAGGCTTAGCGTGAGCTGAGGCCGGGCTAGAGTGAGCGGAGGTGGCGGGGTTGAGAATGGCGCACCCGGCGGATCCGACGAATCAGCGGCAACTACATGTGACGGACCCCGGGCTGGATTCCGCTTCGTCCACAGTGAAAGTTGATGTATTTCCTCAGCGACCAGCACAGATCAGCTCCAGGCATGACAAAGCAGATATCGTCCTCTTTTGGAAGACCAAACAAAGTAGTTTCGCTTTCTCAACGAAGCACACAGCGCCTTCACGACATGGCTGCAGCGTCAACAAAACTACAGTGAGACTAAAAGTTACGCCTTCTTTCTTTGCGTGAACATTTGGGCGGTGTTATGCAAATCTTCCCACATAGTGAGGTAGATATGTGGGGGCGTGTTAGAACGAGCCGTTTTAGGTAGGCATGTTTGACTCTTAACTTTTATAAAGAATATCTCTTTGGATTTGAGACTTTAGTCTTTGCAACTTTACAGATCTTCTTTATGAACCAAGAGCTTGTAACACTTCAAAGAGAAAGGAAAAATTGAAATCGCATCAAATGACCCCTTTAAAATAAAAGCTTGATAATTACTATTAAACTAAGCTAGCTTGTGTAATGGATTAAGGGTATAATCATTAAATAAATCATATAAAATAATTATAAAAAATAAAAATCAGACATTTTATCTTTAAAAATGTTTTACTATGTAGCGTCCTTTAATTTGGAGTAAGAGAAACTGGGGGAGTGGCTTTATTGCGTCAAACATGTGTCACTTAAGCTGATTGGTCAGATTTCGGTTTGAGATCTCTAAACCAGAACATAACCTGCCCTGTAGCTGGTTACTATGGTGATGAACACCACTAAAAGCCAAGCCACTTTCATGGTACTTAAAACCAAGGATTGGTGCAAACTAAACTGAAACTTACCTGGCTAGCCAGCTAATCCGGCTTCATGGTACAGGCTCCAGGGCTGTCCAAACTCGGTCCTGGAGGGCCGGTGTCATGCAGAGTTTAGCTCCAACTTGCCTCAACACACCTGACTGGAAGTTTCTATGCCTAGTAAGAGCTTGATTAGCTGGTTCAGGTGTGTTTAATTAGGGTTGGAGCTAAACTCTGCAGGAGACCGGCCCTCCAGGACCGAATTTGGACAGCCCTGCTTTTGACTATCATCAGATGTCATCAGACATCTGTTTTGCTCAGACTGTCCCCTAGTGGTCATGAAAAGCATCAAACATCAGTTCTCTCGCTGTAGAGTTTACATGTGGGTTGATTTCATGTTTTTATCTGTTCAGTCACGCTACACAGGCCAGAATCAATCAAGTCCTACAGAGACTGACTCAGGCCAGACGACGAAATACATCTACTGATTCAGACACAGCAGACGTCCCAATTCAGGAGGAGCCCGAACCGCTACCGGTTCTTGAGGTACACTTCAGTTATGATTTTATCAGATTTTTATATATATATACAGTATATGTATATATAAATGTTTTTATATTTTTATTTATTTTAATTTATATATATTATGTTTATATTTAGATTATTTTTATTTATTCATGTATTTATATGCATTATATACACTACCATTCAAATGTTTTAAATCCATTATAAGTTAGGATTCATTAAGTTTTTGTTCATTATGTATTACAGTAATAAATTGTAATGCACGAGGATCATTAGAATTTTCTGCTTAACAGATAAAAATGTCATAAGAATTCATACTAATTTATCTAGAATTCATATCTATTATATTATACTCAAGTCTTTTAAAATAATATAAAACAATCTTTATACTATAATTATTTACATTTGTATATATAATATAAAAATAATATAATATGATATAAAGAATTGTGTACTTGTGTTAATGTGTGTATTTTTGCATGTGAAATGCTGGATTAGACTGCAGCTCCTCTACCGGACTCCAGAGTTTTCCGTTCAAAGGTTGATCTGGGGAAGAAACGGAGCATAAAGCGTTCCAGACCGTCTCGTTCTATACGACAGAGAGTCGCCCTGCCCTCTCTGACAGAGGGAACGCAACCCGACTGGAGGTTCTGTGACTCCACAGGTCATATCATACATCTTATCATATAGCACAAATAAAAACAATTTATTAAGATGATGTCCCGTGCAGAGCAGTTTTTATTTTTAACACTGAATCATAGTTACATTACGTTACATTTTTAGTGGGAATTTAGTGGGGTAGAGTCTAAATCCTTTAGAATCTGTATGCTTCAACTGCAGAAATTCCACAAACCTTTATGTCAATGATTGATTAGACAGAAAACAATATATTACAGAAGCAAAAGATCAGTGGTCCAATGGAGCGGACTCTGAATCAGAAGAGGAACCGTCCCAGGACGTCACGTCCTCTCCAGCCCCGAGCCAGCCCAAGAGAGTCCCTGTGTTTCCTGGGATGGACCCATCTGCCCTCAAGGTATGTCCCTGCTGGTATATGTCTGGTTTTAGGTGCTTATGGGAAGTCGTGGCCTAATGGTTAGAGCAGGGGTGCCCAAACTCAGTCCTGGAGGGCCAGTGTCCTACAGAGTTTAGCTCCAACCCCAATTAAACACACCTGAACAAGCTAATCACTAGTATTAATCACTAATACTAGAAACTTCCCAGCAGATGTGTGGAGACAAGTTGGAGCTAAACTCTGCAGGACACCGGCCCTCCAGGACCGAGTTTGGGCACCCCTGGGTTAGAGAGTCGGACTTGTAACCCAAAAGTCACGGGTTCGAGTCTCAGAACCAGCAGGGATTGTCGGGGGGGGGGAGTGAATAACCAACGCTCTCTTCCACCCTCAATACCAGACTGATGTGAGACCCTTGTGTGTGTGTGTGTGTGTGTGTGTTCGTGTTCACTACTCACTGCTGTGTGTGTGTGTGTGTGTGTGTGTATGTGTGTTCTCTTTGTGTGTGTGAAGGCACCGAACCCCCAACTGCTCACCGGGCACCGCAGCAAAAATGTCTGCCCACTGCTCCGGGGGTGTGTGTGTGTGTGTGTGTGTGTGTGTGTGTGTTCGTGTTCACTATTCACTGCTGTGTGCGTGTGTGTGTGTGCGTGTGTGTGCGTGTGTGTGTGTGCACTTGGATGGGTTAAATCCAAATTCCGAATATTGGACACCATACTTGGCTACACGTCACACTCGCACTTTACCTAACTAAAGTCCCTCTGAAGTCACACATCAACTCTTCATGTCTCGTTTTTCTCTCGCAGGCCCAGCTAAAGCGGAGAAGTGGAGTTACAGAAACAGTAAATCCAACAGAAGCGCAGACGCCTCCGTCTGTCCCCACACGCTCTCCCCGCACACCTACCAGGTCCTTCGGCCCTAGAGTGCTGCCCCCTGTTGACGCCAAGGACAGTGGGTACGTGTGACCAGAAACTTTCAGTAAAAACGATTTATTATTGCTTATGGAATGTGATGCAATCACATTTTCATTGTCAGATCAATGTGTTTTATAACTCTTAAGCTGATTTAACCCTATAGAGCCTACTGTATTATATTTGATACATTTCTAAGGCTTCTAAATGATCAACATGATCAAAACCTTGCTGAAAAACCTGTCGTTCACAATTTACTACATGCTTTCTGTCGTCTGATTGATAGTTCCTACTTTTTAGCTAGTAAAACAAATTTTATTATAATTGTAAAAACATCTACCATCAGATCATGGTTCATGTGTATTTTTGCTGTGAAATCTTTACTGATTTTTATGAAGTAAATGTAAGAATAACTTTCATATTGTTAGTAATATTTATAGTATATTGATGAACACTTTCTGGACTGATGCAACTTAGGTTTACTTGATTATCCATAGATCATTGTTTAGAAAAATCCTGTTAAAATGTGATTATTAAATATGATCATCAGGCTTTTGAGGAATTTTTATTTGTTCATCTCTCAATCACCATTGTATTGCATTGCATTATATGATTTAAAACTACCATAAAACTAAACATTTAAATATAATATAACTAAGTCATATTATTAGGAGATATAGAGTGAAAAATTATATTTATATGCATTTTATGTAAGTAGTCTGAATAAAATCGAGGGTGTTTATTTCCTCCATATTCTCACTACATCATATTAAATGAGGTATAAAATCCTGATGCACCAATTATGATATTCAACAAAAAACACACGCAAACATTTTTCTAATTTGTCTAAAGGTTCAAAAACTGTTCCATTTCCAAAAAATTAAATAAAAAGTTCTTTCTGACTATTATTTCATATGTCAAGCTTTAAAGGATTCATTTCATAGTGCTGCTTCAGTGTTTTATTATCTTTGATGCACATCATGTTTTACGGTGCCACATATTATGATGCTTCATTTAGCACATTTGTCTGAATACGCCATTCAGATCATTCTTATTACATTCATCATTATGTCAAATGTAATTATTGTGATTCATGTAAATCCAGGTCCGGCTCTTCACCCTCCTGGCTGCTTGAGCTCAAATCCAAGAAGCGAATGAGTCAACCTGAAAGTGAAGCATGAAGCTCGTGAAGCTCAGGTCTGTGTATTTGCAGGAATCACCGATCCAGTTCTCTGATTACATAAATAATGAAGCTTCTTGAAACTTTCCTGAAAATCCTGGAATATTTGCATTATATTTGTTCCCTTCATCTCCAGTAGAGGGAGACAAAATCCACATATATATCACTTAATTTAGTTCTTCTTACAGTTTCAAGAGTACATTAAATGATGTTTGTCACAGCCATATCATCCTGTAGCCCAAGACTGGTTACCCACTGAAGCTAAGCAGGGCTAAGCCTGGTCAGTACCTGGATGGGAGACTAGGTTGCTGCTGGAAGAGGTGTTAGTGAGGCCAGCAGGGGGTGTTCACACTGTGGTCTGTGTGGGTCCTAATGCCCCAGTACAGTGACGGGGACACTATACTGTCAACAAGCACCGTCCTTCGGATGAGACGTTAAACCGAGGTCCTGACTCTCTGTGGTCATTAAAAATCCCAGGATGTCTTTTGAAAAGAGTAGAGGTGTGACCTCGGTATCTTGGCCAAATTTGCCCATTGGCCTCTGATCATCATGGCCTCCTAACAATCCCCATATCTACTGACGGGCTTCATCACTCTGTCTCCTCTCCACCAATAAGCTGGTGTGTGGTGGGCGTTCTGGCGCACTATGGCTGCCGTCGCATCATCCAGGTGGATGCTACACACTGGTGGTGGATGAGGAGATACCCCTGACAATGTAAAGCGCTTTGAGTGCCTAGAAAAGCGCTATATAAATGTAATGAATTATTATTATTATTAACCTGTTGTCTTTCCTCACAGGTTTGATGCAGTTTAAGAGGAAGTCCGCTGCAGAGGAAGTCTGTGTGATGCCACAAAGATGCCAAAGGAACTGACTTACGTGAATGAGAAGTGCAAAGATCTTTCATTCTCATGCTGACTGAGTATCAGACTATTTTGAGTACAAGTCCTGGAGTTTGAAGGCTTTGCCAAGATGGCGTCCTGTTATGCACATTTTTAATTTTTACATGAAAGTCTGTCATAATCTGGCAGCGTTATAATCGGCAAAAGAGTGTGTGTTTAAAAAGCAAGTGCTGTTCATTTTCATTTTGTTTACGTTTATTAATCCAGCAGATGTTTTATCTAAAGTGAGGATGGTTAAATTCAAGTTCCTCCAGTTCGATCAGGGGCCAAATGCACGTATCTTCTGTTCATCCCTGATCGTCGAGAAGCGGAAATCAGTATAGCTTCATGCTACAATGCACTTTAAATGAGTCAGACCACTGGAAAAGGTGCCTTAGGGCTCTTAGGCATTAAATTGCATTTGAGTTAGATTTTTCTGATTTTAAATATCGTGTTTCTAAAAGTCTGATCTTAAGATGTTCATTATGGCATTGCTATATGAAACCTTTTGTTTTCTCTGAATTGTGTTCATTCTGTTTACAACGAGCCATTCCTTTAAGAGCAATTCATAAGCATCATTTGATGGTATTTTGATCTCATTCAGTTCATTCTTTTATTTGATTCTCTATGTTTCTACTCTAATCAAAGCTAGTGTGCAGAAAAGCATCAGCTGATGTGCTTGGATCTGACTGATTGTCATTTATGAGGTTTTGTTTTTGTTGCCCATGTCTTTTCAGTCCTGCCAAGAACACTTTTACAAACACAAATCAGAGATACGATAATGTCTAATAAGTTGTGTCTGTGTTCCTTTTGAAATGTTTTTCGGTCATGTTTATTTTTAGACTTCAGCTGTGTAAATTGCTGCTGGAGGAAAATGTTTACCTGTTTAATGTTGGGAAACATGAATTGTGTTTTATAAAATATGAATTCATTAAATATATTTCTAAATGGGAAGCAAGTTTGTCTTTGTATATACTGCTTGCGTGTGTGCTGCAGGACTGAGATATCAGTAGGTATCAGAGATCAGTGATAGAGCTATGAAAACAATCCTTATAACAGTAGATCATATTCATTTATTGTTACATTTAACTACATTTTAAATCTAAATTAAGACTTTTTTTAATTATTGATAATTTCCTTTAAGGTGCACCCAAAGTCTTTTTAAAATGCTATTTAAGTTGAATTTAAAAAATATATACTAATTTGATACATTTAATAAGTTGTATTAAAATTAAGCCATTTTTAATTTATTTGTAGATTTGATTTGATGTGAAAAAAAGAGTTTCTTTTAATTACTTAATAATTGATTTAGTTTTTTAAGGTGCATCCCTTGTCTTTTGTAAGTGCACATTTTAAATTTAATTTAAAAAATGTATGTATTAACTTTTTGATACTTTTAACTACACTGTAAAAAATGACCGTGAATTTAACGGTAAAAGACTGTAAAAATGCTACTGTAAAAAGCTGTTAAATGGTTAACGGTAAATTCCCCTACTATATACGGTGAAAAACTGTATTGGACATTACATGTATTCGACATTCATTTTACGGTAGTATACCGTTTTTGGAAGTGAAATAGGCCATATAATTTACAGTGAATAACCGTAAATTGACATTCCCAGAATTCCCTGCGTTACATTTCAAATTTGATGTTTCTTCTTAGTTTTTTCTTATCAGTTTTGTATATTAGGGTTGAGTGTTACACCTAATGTTGTTAAATGAATGTTTATTGCATTATTTCAGTTTCATGTGTGTTACCATGATGGTGTTTAGTGTTTGTGTGAATGACACTGTGCACCTTCTATATATGTTATTATTTAAAAACTGCTTGTGATGGGCTTTGTTTCATCATGTGACTTTCTCATCACCACCTGCATTTGGTGGTTATCAGTGTATTACAAAGGTACAAAACAGATTTCAGTGCTTCAATAGGTTGGTATATTAACATTATATCAGTTAATGAAATTACGGTATTTGACTGTAAATTTAAGTTAAAACCGTAAAACCTAAAACGTTGCTACCGTATTTTTTACGGTAAAATTCCGGTAACCACAGCTGCCGGTTTTTTACCGTAAATTTTACAGATTTTTTTACAGTGTACATTTTATACCAAAATTAAGCCATTTGTAATTTATTTACTGATTTCAAATGTGATTTCAAAGTTGTTGTTTTTTTTATTAAATAATAATTGATTTGCTTTTTTGTAAGGTGCATCCCTAGTCTTTTGTAAATGCAGTTTGTTGAATTTAAATATATTGAATTTAATATAGTGGGTTATAGTGGGTAGTGGGATATACATTTACTTGCATCGACCAAGCTTTTAAAATTCTATTTAAGTTATATTTAACTACATTTTAAAGCAAAATTAAGCCCTTTTTTATTCACTTGTTAATTTCAAGTTTCTTTTTTTTTTTTACATGCATACTTTTCTTGGGCAAACAATTATAGAAAACAATGACTAATTTTGAGAATCCATCAAATGAGGATGAATGGCCCAGATCTGTGGCGTGGGTTTGGGCTCTGAGAGGCAGTGAGACCAGAGCGAGAGAGAGAGAGAGGGGATAGTGAGCAGGGTTGTGATGACAGAAGTTGATCCTGTCTGAATCCTCTTGGCTCGCGCCCTGTCTGTGCCCGCTGTACCCATGCTGGCAGCAGAGCAAGCTGGTGGCTGCGGGCAACTCCTGCCAACTCACAGACTATTGAGAGGCAGTCTGATGGACACAAATTCGAACGACAGACTTGCTGCATCAACAGCAATCGACGCCCAACCCATTTCTGCTGCTGTGGACGGAATTAAACCATAAATACCCCCCAGGTCCCCTCCACTCGCCCAGCGCACCCTCACCTCCATACACACTCCTCACACACACACACCCTCATACACACACACGCTGAGAGAGAGTGGAGGGGTGAGAACTGCCGAAGGTGAAGGACTTCCGTAAACAGGTAAAGATATGTTCAGCCTTCATCTGAAGTCTTACTTTTCATGTGTGCTGGCAGAAAAAAAGAAACTAAATATCATTGTCATAGAAATCTGTCTTAGGTTTTTTAATTGGATACCTAATGCAGTGTAATTGAAATACAGAAATTGGTATAAAAGAGAAAGGAAAATCTTTTTTAGAGAGATTTGTCCTTGATCAAGACTAATCTATTTGATCCAACCTTTTATTGCTAAAACAAGAAAGTTTACAAAATGTTTTTGTCTTCATTGTCATCGCTAGATCTATTGTTTTAGTTTAAAACCTATAACAAACCTCTTTTTTGTGAATTGAAAAGAAAGATGCATTCGCATTTTGTTAGCTGTTTTGTTTTGTTTTATTTTTGCCATCCGACTAAGAACATTTTTACAATTACAATAGATATGTTACAATAATGAGCATAATAAGCAGAGTTTAATTGTGTCCCTTTTGAATGTTTTTCAATCAGTGTTTTGTTTTGTTTTGTTTTGTTTTGTTTTGTTTTGTTTTGTTTTGTTTTGTTTTGTTTTGTTTTGTTTTGTTTTGGCCGTCCTACCAGAAACATTTTTTCAAACACAATACATGTTACAATGATGAGCATAGTAAGCTATGTTTAATTGTGTCCCTTCTGAATGTTTTTCAGTCAGTGTTTTTTGTTTTGTTTTGTTTTGTTTTGTTTTGTTTTGTTTTGTTTTGTTTTGTTTTGTTTTGTTTTGTTTTGTTTTGTTTTGTTTTGTTTTGTTTTGTTTTGTTTTGTTTTGGCCGTCCTACCAAAAACATTTTTTTCAAACACAATACATGTTACAATAATGAGCATAATAAGCTATGTTTAATTGTGTCCCTTCTGAAGTTTTTCAGTCTTTGTTTTGTTTTTGTAAGACGTTGTTTTCAGTCATTGTTTTGTTTTTCCCCTACTACCAAGAACATAGTTTTACAAACACAATATATATAATGTTACAATAATGTAATAATACTTTCAGTTTTATAAATAGCTGCTTAAGGAATATGTTTACCTGTTTAATTTTGGGGAAACACAAGTTGTGTTTTGTTAAAAAAAAAAAACGTTCATATCAGTTATGAATATTTTGCATGATTATGCATATTTCTTCAAAACAAATGCCTCTTGTTTTGATATTTTGTTATCTAATGCAATATTTATGTATTTATAAGTGTCCAAATGTGCTTTGTGGCCATCCACTTTAGATTAAATCTCTTGTTTTCTTTTGGTTCAAGAGTTATTTACTCTTCTCGTGTTTTTAGCTCTCTCGCAGCAATGGCTGGTGTGTGACCCTATTCAGAAACATTTTGTTCTCATCTCTGACGTGTGTTTGTGTTTTTGACAGGTGGAGAGATGTCGGATCAGCAGGGAGTCCCAGATCAGCAGGTTGCTGGGAAGAGCCAAGGAGGAGCAGGAGCGGTTTACAAGGTCCAAATGTACTCATTTATACAGTTATTTTTCACAGACAAAAAGCCCAGAGGAAACTCTTTTATAGCTCCTGAGACTGAATGGATTCTTGCAAAAACAGACACAACATGCCCATAGCTGACACACAGTAAGAGTCTATGAAGGAATATAAAAATGTACTGAGTTTGTTTCTCCATCAGAACACATTTGGAGAAATGTAGCATTGCATCACTTGCTCACCAATGGATCCTCTGCAATGAATGGGTGCCGTCAGAATGAGAGTCCAAACAGCTGATAAAAACATCACAATAATCCACAAGTGGACTCATATTTTGGTCATAAGCAACGGTTTAAAGTTAAAAATGATGGATTACTTGAGGATTATTGTGATGTTTTTATCAGCTGTTTGGACTCTCATTCTGACGGCACCCATTCACTGCAGAGCATCCATTGGTGAGCAAGTGATGCAATGCTACATTTCTCCGAATCTAATGATGAAGAAACAAACTCATCTACATCTAACATGGCCTAAGGGTCATTGAGTCAATTTTCAATTTTGGGCGAACTATTCCTTTAATATTGAGATATCTTGACTTTTGATTGCAGACTTTGATGCTGACAAATTTGAACACAGTTTGAGACGTTGTCTTCAGAAGAAAATTCTGAACAGCAAATATGTCCTCTTGTTCTTCATTTAATTTCATTGCTGTCTAGGGGAAACAAGAGCAGAAAGAAGTTCTTCATTAAAATGAATGACAATTTACATAAATGTTTTTACAAATTATTTACACAAATTCTGCTAGTTTTTTCATGAATGAAAAAGTTTATGACTTATAGAGTTTATGACAAAGAGTTTATGACTTATACACTGTAAAAAATGACCGTGAATTTAACGGTAAAAGACTGTAAAAATGCTACAGTAAAAACCTGTTAAATGGTTAACGGTAAATTCCCTTACTATATACGGTGAAAACTGTATTGGACATTACATGTATTGGACATTAATTTTACGGTAGTATACCGTTTTTGGAAGTGAAAAAGACTTTATAATTTACAGTGAATAACCGTAAATTGACATTCCCAGAATTCCCTGCGTTACATTTCAAATTGGATGTTTTTTTGTTGAAATAACTATGTTCCTTCTTAGTTTTTTCTTATCAGTTTTGTATATTAGGGTTGTGTGTTACACCTAATGTTGTTAAATGAATGTTCATTGCATTATTTCAGTTTCATGTGTGTTACCGTGATGGTGTTTAGTGTTTGTGTGAATGACACTGTGCACCTTCTATATATGTTATTACTTAAAAGCTGCTTGTGATGGGCTTTGGTTCATCATGTGACTTTCTCATCACCACCTGCATTTGGTGGTTATCAGTGTATTACAATGGTACAAAACAGATTTCAGTACTTCAATTGGTTGGTATATTAACATTATATCAGTTAATGAAATTACAGTATTTAACTGTAAATTTAAGGTAAAACCGTAAAACCTAAAACGTTGCTACCGTACTTTTTGCGGTAAAATTCCGGCAACGACAGCTGCCGTTTTTTTACCGTAAATTTTACGGAACTTTTTTTACAGTGTA